GGTTTAGGTGCCGAATTAGAAGTCTGTACAGGGGATAGCATCAGTGAAAAGGACGACACCACAGTCAGGAAGCTAGAGGTATTGAGCAAAGAAACAAAAAGAAGCAGGGAGTGCTGCCTCTTTGAGAGAGTGGAAACACTCACCTGGTCTTGACAACCATCCATCTTTGTGTTCACACCCTTGACCGCACATCTGTGCCAATACTCACACAATCACAAAATTAGAAGTCTTATATTCATCCCAAGATTCATCAATTAATCAAAGAGAAAAATCAGGGAGGTAATTTTTGTTCAATCACTTTGTCTTTGAGAAGTTTTTTGTTTTTTGTTTTGTTTTGTTTTGTTTTGTTTTGTTTTTACCTAGTATAGGTAAAAATCACCTAGTATAGACCCACTACAAAGCCACTTCTGTGGTTGAGGGGGAAACAATGTCCAATGTACACGAAGAGGCAAAGAATTTGGGAACATGTGGAGAATGATTTGAAAGACACAACTCACCAAACCTACCCAAGTGAAAAGATATATTATGGAGCTGGCTACGTTCACTCATCTTTCACTTTAAATCGCTAATAAACAATTAACAGGTATAATAACAACTGTCCCTTGTGATCCATGCAACTTCTGGCATACTCTCTCATTCAGTCACCTTCCCATGATGACGCTTCTAATATTGCTGTCACTTTCCAATCGACCTACTCCTTCCTAACTCAGAAAAAAATGCAGAAATGTTTATCCCAGCCTTGTTGAGAGGTCTCAGAGCAGATCCTCTCAGCTTTAGAACATTACATAGAAGCTATGTCCCCCTAGGTGCCTGGATCTTCCAGGTAGAAAGAAATGAGAGAGGAGGGAGTTTGTACCAAAGCAATGGCATGTACTGTGTGTCTCAGCAACCTTCCACATATGTGAAATGTGCCATAGTGAATGGAAGAGGATGACCTTGGAGTCAGGCAGACCAACGTGTGAGCCTCAGCTCCATCACTTGCCGCCTTATTTCACTTAAACCCGTCATAGCCTGTTTCCTAGTCTGCTTAAGGGGGATCTTGATAATCACTTTTCAAGTTTCTTGGTAAATAAAAATTAAGTGCATAAAATAAAGCACACCTTCAAAAATCAAAATCCAGGCTGAGGGTGATGACAAAATAGAATATCTTCCTTTCTGTATCACTTCATTTCATTTTATACTTGCGGGGCAGGGGATTAAACTTTATGTTGTTAAGTAACATGTCAAGGTGACACACTTCATTGATGGGAATGGGATAGGCACTCAGGTGTTCTTTTCACTATGTTGTGCAAGAGAATATCCAGATGGAAAATACATTTTTTTAACTCAATGACTCTTAGCAAATGAACACTTTACTTAAGTCAACTCTGAATCTTATAAAAAAGATGCCACAAAACCCACAGCTCTTGATGAAAATAATCCTTTTGACAAGACATGGTGACATTGTGAGGGCATAGGCTATAGAGACATGAAGACTTTAATACAAATACAAACTCCACTCTAAGCCTTCTCTTCTATGAAATGGAAATAATAACTGCCTCCTTAAGATTTAATGGCCTGTTGGTTAAATAGGATACAGGGCTCAACACAGGGCCTGGCACATAGACTACGCAGCAAATATTACACGTCTTAACCTCATCCCTTTCCTTCTGACTCCAGGGAAAGTACGATGTCAATCTTTTCAAGCAGGGGTGAAATTTCTACTATGAGAAATATTTTCTCTCTCTTTACCATTGGTTGGAGTTTCATGGATGGTAGATAATGGTGTGTTATGTAGCTTTTGATGCATAACAAACGGCCCCAAAATTTAGTGGCTTTAAACAACAACCATTTTTTTTTTGCTCCTGATTTGTCAGGTCAACAATTTCAGCGGAGTTCAGCAGAGTGGTCCTTCTGCTATTGTCAGGAGGCTTCCTTATGTATCTGTTGTCAGTGCCCTGTCAGCTAGGTGGCTCTGCTGGGGGCTGGATGCTCTAGGATGGTGTCACCCACTTTCCTGGCAAGAGGTTCACTGTCAGCTGGGGTGCAGGGGATTCATGGGCCATGGGTCTCTCATCATCTACCTAGCCTGGGCTTCTTCACATGGTTTTCATCTTGTTTGAAGAGCAGCAAGACAGAGAAACTCTGCCATGCAAACATTTTCCAATTCTCTGTTTGCTTCACACTTGCTATTGTCCCACTGGACAAAGGAAGTTCCATCTCCAAGGCCAAGGACAAATGTGAGAGGAGATACAGGCAGTCATGCATGCACAAATTGCGGTTGTTACTGGAACTGGCTACTATTACAGTGGTTCATCAAATGACCTTGTTCATCACTGGAGAAATACTTAACCTTGGACAAACCAGGCAGAGGAATGTTAGTCTCTCAAAAATGATTTTGACTCTTCTTTAGAAAAAGTCGTAACTATTTTCCCCTATTATTCTAATAAATGAATGATAAAATTATTTTATGAAATTCCGGGAAAAAAACTAATTTCAAATTTTCCTTGGCATTGTACTAAACCTATAAGTTGTAGGTCTCTTTATCCAGAAACATGCTATGCATGTCTTTGCCAGTAGGAATCCAGCCCTTGCCTTTTTCCATATTACAATGTTGCTATTCTTCTCCCTTCCAATAAACATGTCCCCAGCAGAGGCATATTGCAGAGGCATAATCTGATGTGGAAGTGATGGAGTAGACTAGAGAATGGTCCCTCTGGTGAGACAAGGAGATAGTACCCAGTAATTGTGAAGTAGACTTATGATGTGGCTGGGGCCTGGTTCGGTCACCCCACCCCACAGACATCTGTCTAATCGTCCAGCTTTGCTTTCAAACTGAGAACGAGTTAATCATTTTCTATTACAATGTCCTATCCATATTTTTTAGGATCCCTTGGTATAAGTTATTTTGGGAAAGTTGATATTGCCACTGTGAATGTCATTATTTCTCCATTTTCTATATGATTATTGCTAGAATACATGAAAGCTCTTGGTATTTTAAATATTAATATTTCATCTACCATTTAAAGAAATTCATTTTATACCATTTCTCAGGTGTTTCCCAAAAATATATTCATATCATCTGCAAATAATAATTTTGTCTTTTTTACCAAAATGATAGACCTTTTTTCCCTTTACAATCGTATTACACTGGAAAGAACACCTGAAACAATATTTAGTAATATTGGTGATAACCGGCATATCTGCCTAGATCCTTACTGTAATGGATTTTTTTCTAGCAGCTTAACATCACTTGTGTATTTCTGAGCATGGACACACTGAGGAATACAGCCTGCTAAAGCTTTTTCTCCTCGTTCATTTCTAGTCACGGGGTATTGCATTCCTTCACATGTTCCTGATCATCCATAGCTTGCTAAAATACGGTCAATCGTAGTAGTGTCTTTATTGGTTGAAGTCACTCTCCTTATGTGTCCATTTTATCTTTGTCTTTATATATGACTCATACATTTTTATCACATTATGCTCTTGATTTTGCAGGTGTGTGCTGTCACTAGGAACAGGATTATTTTTACGAGCTACTTGGGGTATAAATGGAGTCGAGCAGACCCTGGGAAGCTGAACTAACTTGTTCTTTAAAAACCGAACTGTATGTTTCATAATTACCTTCTACGTACATTTCAGTCGATTTCCGCTAGATAAAGGAATCATTTCATTGGGAAAGTAAGTTTTCATGATCCTCCTACTTGCCTGATGGCAGCACCGTGTGTGTTGGTAAGAGAGACAAAGTTGCAATCCGGCAAAAGTTAGAGGACATCAGAGGCCTTCTCTATAAGGCTACTGTTAGAGCAGGGAAACAATAAGAAGGAAGGCTTTAGGTTGTTGATTTGGGGGCTGGGCGTGTGTGTGGGGGCGGGGGGCGCCACTTCTCAGCCTAGAGGATAGGATGGCTGGAGAGACGTGAGAGAGCACCAAATGGCCCTGCTGCAGTCCCACACGGGGAGACTTCTAAAAATCAAAATGTAGACTATGAAGGGATTTCCACAGGCACATTTTTGAAAACCCCAACCAGTACTCTTCCATGAGAAGAAGGGTGGAGCGTGTGGAGGGTGGAGAGTCTCGGAATTTAATAAAATACTACTTAGTGTGTTTCTCCAGCTGTTGGGTGACTATGACTCAAATGCAAATAGGTGAGGAGCTTACTGATGAGGAAACTGAGGAACAGGGGCGGTAAGATGTCAGTAGGGGTCGAAGGAAAGTGTTATGAGCTGTGCCAAGATGCCTGGCAAGGTGAAGAACCTGTTGAAGAAATAAAACTGCATGATATGATTCAGCAAAGATTAGGTAAGTCTTTGATCCAAGAATACTGAGGATAATTTTGACAAACCGGAGTCTTGGTATAAATAAGCCAGTACCATTCATTATGGGCGATGATGAAAATGCACTTGACCCCATTATGTGGAAAACGACTGCGTGTGTGTTTCGGGGACCCGGTGGGCGGTGAGAAGAAACAGCCTACGGCGCCACAGCCACGTTCGTCGCCACCGCACACGTGGACACAGTCTTGGCCCAAGTCACAAAGCAGTGAACTTAACTCCGCGTAAAGGAGATTCCCAGCCCGAGGAGTGCGGGGCGCCTGCGCAATGGGCCCGAGGCGCCGCTCTGCAGGAGCAGCGAGACCCCCGCCCCCGCCCCCGCCCCTCGCCCTCCGACGGGAACGCGCACGTGGAAAGGGGACGCGAACGCGCACGCGAAGGCGCCTCACCTCCCTCTCCCCTGCAGGGGCGGCTGAGGAGGCGACGCGCGCCGGAGCCGCGGGTGGGCTGCGTGCGGAGAGGCGGTCCGGGGGTGGGGCGGCGGCGGCGCCTCAGCCTCCTCCACGCAGGCGACTGCGCTCGCGACCCCGGCCGCAGAGGGGCGGACTGACTGACTGACGTCCTCGCCGGTCGTCCCCGCCCCCGCCTCATCTTCTTTTAGGCTCTGGGCTCGCGGGCTGAGGCGCTTCTCTTGCCTGCCCCTCGCAGCAGCCCTTTCTCTCCGCAGCAGCGCGACAGGCGGCAGCGGCGGCGACCCGAGCAGCAGCGAGCGCGGGAGAGGGTGGCCTGGAGGATGAAGTGCAAGCCGAATCAGACGCGGACCTACGACCCGGAGGGCTTCAAGAAGCGGGCGGCGTGCCTGTGCTTCCGGAGCGAGCGCGAGGAAGAGGTGCTGTTAGTGAGTAGCAGCCGGTACCCAGACCGCTGGATCGTGCCGGGCGGGGGCTTGGAGCCCGAGGAGGAGCCGGGCAGCGCGGCGATCCGAGAGGTGTTCGAGGAGGCGGGAGTCAAGGGGAAGTTAGGCCGGCTCCTGGGCGTCTTCGAGCAGAATCAAGATCGCAAGCACAGAACGTACGTGTATGTCCTGACTGTCACTGAGGTTCTGGAGGATTGGGAAGATTCGGTGAGCATTGGGAGGAAGCGAGAGTGGTTCAAAGTCGAAGATGCGATCAAGGTCCTCCAGTGCCACAAGCCCGTGCATGCCGAATACCTGGAGAAACTAAAGCTGGACGGTTCCGCCACCAGTGGAAACTCCGTGGCCCCGTCCGTCCCGGGGAGCGACCCCTAGTATGTACCGCTCCTGCACAGACCTCTCTGCTTTCCGCTTGCCCTAGAACACCTTGTGCCCGCGCACTTCCAGTGCCATGTGCGGGCTTCTCGGGAGAGGGAGGCTCCTTTTGTTTCCTTGGCAGACCTCTGAATCACGCTTGCAAACTGTCTCAGTTGCCAGGCACTGTTTTCGGACAATTTGCACGTTTTTCAGATGCTTTGAAAGTCGCTTCTTGGTAGGGCTGTTTAACCGAGTTCGGAAAGCCTAAGCCACATGGGGTTTTCTTTTAGGTGCCTTAACTGCTCACTCAGCCCTTGTGGGTGTGTGGGTGTGTGCGCGCTGTGGTTGGTTGGGTTGGTTTTTTGTTTTTGTTTTTTACATTTCACACGTGTGTGTGTGCGCGCGCGCGCATTTTTGATATCAGTCTTGTGGTTTGTTTCGTAGTGAAGGCCTTTAAAATCTGATCACCTGGGTTGTGTGGCATCTTTCATTATTATTTTTTTTTCATAACTTGTTTCCTCATTCACGGCATTAGCCCTTGTCGACAAGTCCTTCTGTGGGAGGAATTGTTTTAAATGATCAGTTTTGAATTTTTTAAAATAATTTTAAGAAATTTGACATTTTGTGTCCTTGCCACTCTCGACAATAATTTCACCTTGAGAAATGTGATCTGATTTGCCCTTTTCAGAAATTACTTTATTCATATGTACATAATTTGATTTTCAAAAATCGTTCACAACTGGTAATTTTTCACTGCCCACTTGATATGGCCATTCCTCATATAGCCCAAATGTAGTCTAACAATATTACTGTGTAGAGTACACATTTGTCAGGAAGATATTATTAGCCAAACACATCCTGAGGTAGATATAGATGTACCTTATCGCAAAAACTGTATTCATAGAGTATGATGTAGCATGATGAACTCCCACTTCCAACTCCCACTTCCAACTCCCACTGCCCCTTTCTCAATAACCTAGAACAACCATGGTTCTCTCAGTATAAACTAGTTTTTGAATGAAAGGTATTTCACATATTTGAATTTGTTGACATTCCAATTTGGCTTTCTGATTACCAGTAGCCACAGGAATGGGATCTATAGGGTGATTATATCCCAGTTGAATGAGATTTTTTTCTTGCTATTCTGTTATTACAGACTTTCAAAGTGTTAGAACACCTGAACAATGTCTCTTAAAGATTGAGAATATACATTTTGTCTCACAGGGCAACCTTTTTTGGATGCCAATTTAAAAACGCTTACATTTGCTTTGATACTTGCTTGAAATCTGGAATCCCGTATCAAATGCATAGGGCTCTTTGAGAACTACCTTTATTCCCCCAGCCATGTCAGCAATTAGAGGTAAAACCTACTTTGTGATGAGAGTATTAGGGATAGTAAGGTGATTCCATATGGAACACTTACGTGTTTTTCAAAAACTTTACTAGTAAATAATGAGTAGAAAATAATGGTCATTTAATATATTTTGTTCCTCCTCAAAGTAACCTGTTTTTAGACACTGTTACTGCTAAAATTTTAAGAGTTAACCTTTGTTAAAAAATTAATGTTTTACTGTTGTGCAACAGATGTACAGAACAATGCACTAATCTTTATAGCTTAATGAATTTTTACATAGTGAACACATATATCTAACTAGAATCCAGGTCAAGAAATTAACATTGACTATTACTCAAAAGGCCATCACATTCCTCCTCCTAATCTGTTCTCTCTGCCTTCCTGTCTTTTAAGACCATGGAATAGTTCTGTTTTTGAACTTTACATAATGAATTTTAGAATATATACTCTTTTATGATGCTCCCTTGTGTACTTTGTTTTACTCATCAAAACACTCAAATATTTTTATACATTTGGTTCTACAAATTATTAATATTTTTTTATGATTGCTACTAAAAAATTGGCCCTCTTGCACTTTCCAAAGAAATTTGGTGCCACTGTTTTGAAAACAAATCTTATTACATGTTTAAGTACAGATAAAGTACAAGTTTCAATTCATAAAACATTTTCTGCACTAATGCTATCAAAGTAAACTAAAAAAAATGAGTAGGTTTTTAAAACCAATGACAGTTTCATTATCTGTATTATGCAGTTTCATCGAATATGATTATTGAGCGTTTTTCTGCTTTTCTCTAAGTGATAATATATCAAATATATATTTGAGCAATATTTTTAATTTCAAACAAATTGACTTTTACCATTCATACAGTCTCAAATAGACCCAAAGATATTCCCCCCTCAATAACCTAGTTATTTAGGAAGATTCTTAAATTCTACATTAACATTAGAATAGCAGATAAACTGGATTCTTATTTTATAGCTATTATTGAAGATAAAAACCTCTTCCACCTGAAATGCTGTCACAAATACTTTAGAGGTTTAATTTGTACTTGTTTTTCTTAGAGGCAATAGTGAATCATCTTGTTTGGTTCTTAAATTACGTATCTGACAAAGGCAAAAATGTACATTCATATTGACCATTATTAAGAATTATTAGCCTATAAATATATTGTAGGGTTTTCTTTTGTCTTTTTATTTGGCCAAAAACATTTAGAATAACTTATGCTATTTTTCAGGATTGACCATCAAGTTCATTTAAGTAGTTTTTGTGAAATATTCTCTGGAACCCAGCCTAGTCAGAATAGTTAAAAACTCCAAGAAGATTTGATTTTTCTCTTCAAGACCAAGAGTTTCAAGCTAAAACAGGTGGCCAGAGGTAGTATATAGACAATTTCTACCACCTCAGCACTCTAAAAATTTATGCACTCTAAAAGTTTGGATTTTTTTTCTCTTTCTAAGAGTGTTAAAAAGTCACCTGTACATTATTTGTTTGGTTTTTCAGTCCTCCCCTTCATAAAAAAGGAAAAAGAGGACTCTCCACAGGTAATTGAGATTTGCAGACACGAATCAGAAATGTATTTTCTGTGTGTTTTATAAACATTTTCAGCTGGTCAAATATTTTATTGTTATAAAACTGGTTAATATAGATACATAGATATACTGGAAATAATTGGTGCTGTGTCTATAATGTATAACATTTTTTCCAAGAAATTTGTGTGTGTGCAGTAACACAAATAAATCATGTAAATTTGGGTAGAACTTTTACTTTCAGGTCTTCCATGTGTGGGAACCACTGGGCACTACCAGAGTTTTATCAATATTTTAATGGTAGTTGTCTCCTGATAAATTGTTAATATTATATTTAGCAGATTTTAAATGTTTATAGGCAGACAGCACTACGAGAAGTGGAGAAGTCACTGGTGGCTGAAGTAAAACATTTTTATGAGAGTTTGATATGATAAAAACTACAATGGGACTGTGAAGTTGGACAGACCTAGGGTTGAAAACTGGTTTCAAGTTCTTGCTCACACTAACTTCAGCCAAGTTATTTAACTAGCTGATGCTCAGGTTTTTTTTGTTTTGTTTTGTTTTGTTTTTTAAGAACTAAAACTTTTTTTGAACAATTATGGAGAAAAAGACTTAAAATCTGTGCACTTAGTATAACAGCAAGGTTTCTGTAAAGCAGTCACATCATTATGGCCAACACAGAAAGAAGGGTTGAGGTGACAAAGGGAGGAGGGGATCCGAATTAAGACCAGGAAAGAGCTATTTCCCTGGCTGAGGGTTTCCAATACCCAGGAGAGGAAAAACTGGTAAATAAGCTGCAGTATAAAACTCCTACATTGTCAAGAGTGTTGCTTCATGGCAGTTTTAACATTGAGCTGCTATATAGTAAATAACTGGGCATTCTTGATACTTGAATATGGAATATGTGCACAGGGAAAGGAAATAATGACGCACTTTATAAGAACTGTATTGTAAATTGGAAAATACAGTGTCTTAAAACTATTTAAAATTGGCACCAAAAAAAAAGTTGCTTAGTAATTTACTACAGTTCAATAATTAGAGGGAATTTCCTGAATGCTGGGTACTTTTAGGAGATAATAAAATAGATACTTAATAAACTTCTATGAGGACCATTTCCTGACCACCTGGGTTAAGATACTTTCCTCTGTGTGTGTCATGGTTCTCACAATTTATTGTACTTACCTATTTGCATGGCTGTGTGGCCACTAACCACAAACACTTTGATGGATGGGAACCAGCCTGAATTATTTTCATAAGCCCAGAGTCCAGAACATGGAATTAGGAGTTTTTGTCTTAGATGACTACATGACTACCTCCCTTTTTTCATAACTAGTATCACTGATTTCCTGACTTTTTTGTTTCATAATGTTGACCTGTAAGTCCCTCAGCTGCTTATCCAGACTCACATTGCATCTGCATCAGATTACTCTTGGCTTTCCAAATGCGAAGTGAGTAGTACAGGTAATAGGCTATTAGTAAATTTGTCAATTGGAGGAATTGTTAAATTAGTATAAGCCTGCTAATCGTATGTTGGTTTGTTTTTCCAGATGAATAACAAAGATGTTCAGGATTGCTTTGAAAGAAAAATTAATGTGAATCATCGATCAATGGAATTGTCAAGTACAGGTGAATACTTCCATGTTTCCACGGAGACAGCTCATCTGGGTTTCCTCCTACTTCTTGGGATAGCCATTCCCAGTCTATTTTACTGATTTCCTCTTGCCCTGGTCCTTGTACTGTTGTATGTGAACAGACTCTTAATTCATCACCTATAGCCTTTTAATGTGCTTTTTTGATGTGTCTGTCTTCTCCATTAGACTGTAATATCCTTGAGAACAAGGGCCGTGTTTCCTTACTATTTGCATATTCTGCATCTAAGACACTACTTGAAATATAGTTGGCATCACTGAAGGTTCTTTGATTTAATCTATACTTTGTCATCACTTTGTGATAAAACATTCCCTTTCCACTCTGGTGTTACTAGAGTATATGCTGTCTAGGCACCATGTGTGTGACTTTATCAGGTGTTTTTTCAGAAACTTTTCAAGGCTATTGTAAGATGTTCAAGGACAAGAATTATTACTTGTATTTCTATGTCATACCACACAGTGGCTAGCACAGTTTTAAGATTACCCCGTCACTTAGGGCAACATTTTGTACAATCAGTCCTTTGTGTAACAACTTTAATGTTTTTGTACTGTTGTTAATTTGCTTAAAATTTTATTCAAAAAATATCACTTGCTATAAAACTAATTGGAAAAGTAAATACAATGAACACAAGATAATATTGTGAGTTTTTATAAAAATAAATTTTAAAATGATGTACAAATAATAAATTTGAAGTTTTTGCAATGCCCTAAACCACTTCTTTCATATAATCTTAACATCTCTTTAAAGACTGTTTTTCTCATTTTACAGATTCAGTATACTGTATTATTTGATGCCAGAGCCAACAAAGACTGCAGTGTAGGTAGTTTCCAAAGTTAGTTACTCCTCTTATCTTGCCTAGGGTTTTTTTTCTTTGTTTGTTTTGTTTTATTTTTTTTATTTGCATCTTTTACTGATTCAGTTAGTCAAAAGTTTTCATCACATTTTCTAATACACTCAGCTAACTCCTCATCTCACCTGGTTTCTGCATGTGAGAGTGCAAAGGACTGAGACAGCTTAATTGTTGTCACTGGGAAAAGGCATTAGGGGGAAATTTTTTCTGTGAAGGGGGAACAGAAAAATGAAGGATTTAGAAAGAGAAGTCTTGGTTGGGTCAGCTGCCTCCAGTAGGACAACTTTAAGAAAATGACAAAGATGTTTAGAAAAAATTTTATGGAGTTTTGCCATGGGGTTTATAATGTCAGTGCTCTTCCCCAGCTCCCTATAAAGGCTCCAAAGTGGCTTTCTTTTGCATTATAAAGCAATTACAGGGAAAAAAAACCTTGTGCTTTATTTTAGTGTTACACCCTTCCTTGCGGTACCAGAGATATATATTGATTGTTCCCCCAATCCTTGCAGAATTTTAAATAACATATCTCTCCAAATTATTGGGATTTTTTTAGGTGTGAAATGGTATTGTAGTTATGTTTTTTTAAATCCGTATCTTTTAGAGAAGTATAAATTTTACAGATAAAATGATATGCTACTGGTATTTGATTCAAAATAATCTGAGGGTGGGATAGGTGAGCATACAGATGAAACATGATTGGGGATAAATTGATAATTGTTGAAGCTGTGTGATGGATATTTTGGACTTTGTTATACTATTCTCTATTCTTTTGTATATGTTTGAAAATTTCCATAATAAAAAATTTAAAAAAACTTCAGCATTTACTTTCAGGCCCCCTCCCTCTATCCCTGAGGAAAGGATGGTCAGATGACAAATCCACAGCTCAGACTGACTCCTCCACTTCAGGAGCCTAGGTTTTACTCCTGAGCTAAATATATTTGCAGACTTACTCTTCCTTTCCTGTGAATGCTTTCCTTGGAGATCTCCCAGTTTCATGTGCAAAAAGACCTTTAGCCCCATCAGTATGCCAAACATGACTAGAAAGTTTTGAACTTCAGTGGTGGCTATACGCTTAGGTTCCAGATGAGACAATACTCCCAGTCTATACTTTATCTTTAAAAAAAAATTGATTTTCTTGATTACAAAATTAATTCATCTAAATTTCAGAAAATTTGGAAAATTCCCCCCAAAATAAATGAATCAAAAATAACACTTGTCCCTCTACCCAGAATAACCTAGTTTGAAAAATATATATGTGAATATGTGTATTCCAGCCTTTTTACATATCAAATGTAGATATGTGTAACCCAAACACAAATGGCACAGGTGAGCCCCTTCCACCAGGATATTTCTAAAAATCTATGACCCATTTTACTGTTCAGTACATACCACACAGTCACCTTGCTGTTCCTCAGAATATTTTAAGCTAATGCTCAGGACTATTACAGAATTTGTGCTTTCTGTCTTGTACAAGTGCAGCAGACATGACACAAAACTTTGGTCTGAGGTCCTGATCAAGCTCTCACCAAGTCCTAATGCAGGGTAGAATTGGCCTATTTTTTAGTTTTGTTTTTCCTAATTCCCACACAAACTCTACTCACTAAAACTGAGGCTGGTGGGGGCTGGCATCGATTCAGAGGGAGATCCTCTTTAATAAGTCACACGATTACCATATATTGGCTAAAAATGTAGACCTGCTACTACTTTGTTTTCCAAAAAGTTCACTCTGTCTTCTCTGGAGTGTCAGCAAGCTACCATACCATTACCTCTCTGAAGTCTCTGGCCCTCATAATGCTGCTGTCATTTGGGGCACAGTGGATTTCAACTGGGAAACAAGAAGGCCACCACTTGACTTGGGGAATGGAATTCTAGTTTCCCCCTTCTACCTTTTTATCCCAGAATGTACTTTCATCTTCCCTAATTTCCTACAGCACACCAGAAACCAGGCCATAAATTAATGAGATTTTACTGATGATTACCAGATTACATGAGGCACATGTAATAGAACACAATTTACGAGTACTGCCCAGGTCAGATCTTTTCCAGATTCTATTGCAAGACTAGTTCTCTAACAGGCTGACTCCAAATGACTCCCTCTGCACCAGCCCCCCATCACGGCCATAGACAAAATGATTCCTATACCCATGGACAAAGAAAAGCTGCTCCTTCAATGACCAAACAATACTCAAAGTATATCAAACTTAATTTCCCAGAGTATAAGATGTGAACCTGAAGTCAATGGAATGAATCAAGGGGCTAGAATGTGGGTTGTGGATAGAAATTCGGTTTTACTCCAAAGTTCATGTTCAGGACTGACAATACAGTGAACCCAGTGCTCCACTTCTTTTCAGTGTGGTAAATTTAACACTGCCCTATGTAAGCCTACACAGCAGAATGAGGAAGCAGGCTAGGACCTCTGGAAGTTTAGACTTCTTTGGGGTCAATGCTGAGGATATAGAGGACTTGGAACAAGATTGGTATTCTATGCGGTTTGGTTTGTTGTTGTGGGTTTTTGTTTTGTTTTGTTTTGTCTACTAAGTCATATTTAGACCTCACTTCTTGGATATTACAAAGACAAACTGCAAAGTCCATTCTTAGTATATAGGATCAATGACAGCATTACACCCCCTGGTGGACATTTTAGGAATTAGCCCAGTCCTGGATGTATTTTATTTAGAGCGAGGAAATCTTTCCCAGGGATACTCCACTGCCCAAGGACACCCTATTGGCCATGCCTATTTATAAATTACCTTTTACTAATCCTAAATTAAAGTTAATATTTTCTATATCTGAAGAAAAGTCCTCTACCATGTTCTAATCAGTAAAATTTTGAGTTCTTTCAGCTATGTTTTTTTTCATCTAGCTTTAATCTGGTAGATAAATAGGAAAGTATTTGTGTTTACCTAGTAACTTCATCCTCATAATTGAGGTTTAGCTGTGATAAGGCTATTCAGAACTTTAGGCCAAGAATTCTGTTACCTCTAGGAATACCTGGGTTGATAAAAATCAGACATGGCCACTGTCTTCATGGAGCTTTCAGTGTTTCGGGGAGACAGAAAATAAAACAGGAAATCTCAACAGAATATTACCCTATACATTTTAGAAATATATAGGGTTTAAACGGGGCATGAGTTGTTTAATTGGATGGGGGAGATGAGAGAGAAGTGGATATCATGGATATATTTAAAGATATCTCCCTGAAGCAACTGAGTAGATGATATCATTCCCTTAGATGGAAGCTAATAGAGGGAAAGCATTAATCATGTAGGGCTGAGAAGAAATTAGCTAGTTTTATAACTGTTTGTTTCTGGTACTCCAAGTTTAACTTGGAGACATCCAAAAGATATACATAGACATGCAGCTTAGGAAAGAAAAATGAGCTGGAGGTGTAAATTTTTGAGTCATCAGTAAATGGGCAGTAGGTGAAGAGGTGGATATACACACTATCATTCGGAGAGGGCAGTGAAGATCCCACTGAGGAGTATCCACATTTAAGGGTGGGTGCAGAACTTCTAGGATGATGTGTAAAGATTTTGGTGGACCCACTCCCCAAACTCCATTTAATTGGTGACAATTACATGTACATACACATACACGTACTTGTGTGTGTACGCACATGCACACACATTTAAAGTCCCTAGACATTGTCATAAGGGCATACAGCAAATGAATAAGCATTTGTTCAATAAAATCTACTAAATCTCTGTAAAAATAGTGAGAATCTGTGGCATTTGAGCTATCATTTGTTTCATCTCCCCCAGCTACATGTGACAAACTCTATTCCAGATATGGATGTGCCCAAGAAAATGGGGGTTTCCTACTCCCTCAGTTTCTAGCTTAGGGCTACGGTTTCACCCCAGGAGAAGAAGGCCACCAAGGTCTCAATCCTTCACAGTCCCATGTTGTAGAAGCTCTCTATTCCAGGCAAGCCTGAGCTGGAGAACTAATTCCCAACTGTAGGGTAAGGGCTTTGCCTCAGGCATGACAGGCCAAGAATAGTGGGATCTCAAGGTCCTCTGCCCTAGGTCATCTGTAGAGGGAAGTTTCTACATGGAGATAAGCAAGCTGAAATAACCAGGGGCTCTCATCTCCCCATGAGTGCCCAGTGGGTTGTTACTGCAGAAGTGGCCTACTATCCCCACCCCCTAATTCAGGTATAGTCTAGTTTCTGCCTGTGTGGAGAGGCAGGCCTTAAGAACTATGCACAGCAGCCTTGCCTGAAAGGACTGAATTTGTTTGGAAAAGAACCTGGAAAAATTCATGCTTAAGGGTGTTGTTGAAAGCTACGGTCATCTTTACAGGGAACAATTAGAAGGGGCCTGGTAGCTCCAGGTTACTAGGAGCAACAAGGGGACAACACTATAAAAGAACTAGATTAACATACACCTAAAGACCACTCCACCAAACAACAACAAAATATACATTCCTCTCAAGTACATGGACCCTCCTTGAAAATAGGCCATATGCTGGCCCATAAACATGTCTCAATAAACACTTCTCTATGTCACTGAAGAACAACTGCAGCAGATTTAACATCTGAGCACCAGCAGCTGAATGGCAGTTCCCATCTCTTCTAGCTTCGAGTTGCAGAAAAGCTCTTCTATTTGATTCAGCAGTCCAGTGACAGTTCCCATTTCTCCCAGATACTACTGTTGAAAAGACTTAATTACAAGCAAAATCTCCTGCCAATCCAGAAAACCTCTCCACAAAAGTAGAAGAGAAAGGAATCAGTTTTATTATTGAGTATTACAACAGAATGTGATGTGTGTATCACAGGCAATCTGCTAAAGAGATTGCAAAAAACAGAAAAAAAAATCACTTCTTTTACATAGCCCAGACAGATACAACCTGTTACATACATGTTCTCAAGATAAACGATGACTAGTCCTCAAGAGAACTTAACAGCACCATTTATCACATATGTTCATCTTAAATTCACCTGGTAATTGAAGTGGCCATTTGTCTTTGCTAATTGCGTTTATCCAAAGGAATCATAAAACTCTATTTTTATG